TAGGCTGCCACCTACTGACTGTGCCCTAGTCTCTCTCAACACTAGGCTCTTCCACAGAAAGCGAATCAATTCCTTGCAGGATGCTCTCTGCTATGTCATTTCATGCCATGTATTCAACTAGATCAATATAATCTTTCAAATACAAGTGCTTTTAACTTCAAAAAAAATACAAAACGGACAGGTTTCTGTACAGCTAAACATCCCTGGCCTGCACTCAAAAGGGCAGAGAACTATTTTTAAGACACATGCTATTTGTTTAAATATGGAAAAGTTCTATTTGAATAGATGTCTCTTCACCACTTCCTTTATTCCTCAGTCCTGAAAAGTGAAGCTCACTGTCTCATTAGAATTGATTTAACTGTTCATATTGATCAACCTGAAGTTATTCAAAACTTTGTAGTCCTAAAGCACTTGTAAAAAAAAAACAAAAAACACAGCAGCTGACAATAAAGCTAAAAGTTAGCCTTTAATTAGCTCAGCCCCCTGTCATAGAGACCTAAATCTGCAGGTGCCTCCTTTTTCTAAAGGGCAGAGGACTTTTTCAAGTGAGAGTTTCTTGCTGTTCTAAGAAAAAAAATCAGGGGCACCAGGCTATCTCAGTTACTGTCCTCCTTTGGCTCAGGTCATGATCCCAGGGTCCTGGAATTGAGCCCCACGTTGGGCTCCCTGTTCAGTGGGGAGTCTGCTTCTCCCTCTGCCTGCCACTCCCTCTGCTTGCACTCTTTTCTCTCTCTCTCTCCACCGTCAAATAAATGAATAAAGCCTTTAAAAAAAATCAGACCAACGAAACATCATGAAAGGGAAATAAGGAAATCCCCTTTCTGAGGCAGTAGGCCATTGTCTTGGTGAGAGAGTGAAGGGTAAGTTCACTCAACAACATCCACTTCATAAGTATTGCCAGACACTATATTAGGAGCCCAGGGTGCACAGATGACTTAAACATCTATTGCCTTCCAGAAGCTGTCTGGTGCAGAGACCTGGTGGGGAGACAATTACAAGGCAGCCTGCACTATGTAAAAGGTATAAAATCCGAGCAGTGAAAACTACTGCCTGGGTCTGCTTGGGGGGTCAGGAAGAGCTTTATAGAGGAAGCTTCTGAAGGCAAAAGTGGAGCTTACCAGGAAATCTGATGAGAGAGAGAGTGCTAAATGGTGTGTGCAAAGGACGGGAGATTGGGGTGGGGGGGGAAGCAGAGGCTTAGGGAAAACATCTACCAGTTCAACACTGGTAAAGAATAAACTGAATGAGGTCAAGTAGGTAGGGAGAGGGCAGCTCTCAGAGTCTTTTCTATATCCTGCCAAGCAATGTGCCTTTTAGAACGATCACACTGGCGGCAGGTGGGGACAGGAGGCAGGGGGATTGCTGAGAAGAGCCATGAAACTATCCAAGCAAAGAAGATAAGGGTCTGCAGGCAGAGAGGCCACTTTAGAAAGAAACTGAGAAGATGAAATTGTAGGACTTGACCGGGGCTGAAGAACAAGAAAAGAGGACAAGACTCGGATCCCCCTAGTTTCTGGCTCAGGTAACCAACTGGGTAGTGGCCTATTCACTATCACTAGTGGCATATTCACAGTCGGCCCTGTGGGTTTTCTGGGTGGAGATAATGCATTCCACGGAATTTGAAAATTGGAGTCTGGAAACCGTGCGTGTGAAGCGACGGGAACACCGAGGTGACGATGAGCCGTGGTAACACGAAGACACAGATGTGAAGCTCAAGCCGGTGGTCTACACTGGATTTAGCAATTCGCAAGTCCCTGGAGTGTAAGCAGCAGCGGACGGGGATGAAATGCCCCAGGCAGAGCGGGTGCAATCACAAGAGCACCACTGGGGAGAATCTGGGCAGCAAGAGGGGAGGAAGAGACCCTGGGCAGGCAACAGAAGCCTCGCCGGCCTCAACAAGCACTCAGCTCGCTACCACACGGGGGCCAGCAGGACAGAAGAGGGAAGGCTAGAAACTGCTCAGCCGCGCAGCTACACCAGATGCAGACAAGACTAAGTTCGACCTCTGCTTTCCACTTCCACGTGTGAGGCGCTTGGAAGTAGCCACTCTGTCCAAGTCAAAAGCGGAACAGACTGAAAAGTCAACAACTCTTCCTGGACCCAAGAGAGAGGAGAGGACACACAGCAAACCGCTGTCCTCCTGGAGGCTGAAGAGACAGACAGATGGAGGAAGACAGGCAATCTTGACTTAGCAGAGCAGAGGCTGAGGAGTCAAAATGACTGCCAGAGCCAGGGCCAGAGTAGGAAAACTTGAACTGTGATTGAGGAATGGCTGGAGGCTCCGTCTGGACAAGCCTGAGAGTTAAAAACTCCAGGGAATCCAGTCCAACCTAAACAAACTGGCCTCCCCAATTCTGTGAGGCTTACCTCCAGGCGCTCCACCAGGTTCCTAAGATAAACACATGAGAAAAATGCCCTCCTGCTTCCAGCTGGGGAAGTGCACAAGGAACCATTTTGAAATACACCAGAGCACTCCCTTCTTAAAAAGGCTTGACATCAAGGGAAACCAGTTAACCAGAGCCTAATCTGCTGGGTATTTATTGTCAGACTGAAATTGACCTGGGGGAAGGAATATGCCCAACTCCAGTCAGCTCCAGGCCTCCTGTCCCACCTGAGAGAGAGGAAAACATGCCTGTGAAGTTCACAGTCCAGAGGCAGAGGCTCAATAAAGGACCAAGATCTAATCACGGGGTTACAGAATACGTCCCTTCCCCATACACCTCACCACCACATCCCTGAAGGCCTATTTATAGCCGTTCCTTTCACCCAGTGCATCATGTCCAGCTAGTGAGAGAAAATTACAGGGCATACTAAAAGGCAAAATCACAATTTGAAGAGCCAGAGCAAGCATCAGAACCAGACAGGGCAGATACTGCAATTACCAAACCAGGGACTTAAAACAACTATGATGAATATGCAAAGGGCACCAATGGCAATAAAGTAGACAACATGCAAGAACAGGTGGGCAACATAAGGAGAGCTGAAAACCCTAAGAAGAAAACAAAAGTATAATTCTGTTTGTTTTTTAAGATTTTATTTATTTATTTGACAGAGAGAGAGGCATCAAGAGAGGGAACACAAGCAGGGGGAGTGGAAGAGGGAGAAGCAGGCTTCCCGCTGAGCAGGCAGCCCAATGTGGGGCTTGATCCCAGGACCCTGAGACCCATGACCTGAGCCGAAGGCAGACGCTTAACGACTACCCAGGCACCCCTAATTCTATGTTTTAAGCATTACTTAATATATGCGAACATACCCAGATATATTCAAATATGGTCTAGAAGCATGTAAACCAAGAGGGGTACCATGGTTTTCTCTGGTTATCTCCGGAAGTATGGACAATTTTATGTTTCTCCTTTCTGCTTTTCTATATTTTCCAAATTTTCTTTAATGCATATGCATTGCTTTTGAAATAAAAGGTGTAAAGGCTTTTAATTTTTTTTTTTAAAGAGCTAAAGTTTGTAGGCATCCAAATTATCTGGAACTGAGACAGTGTGAGATAGTTGAGACTGAGGTACTTCAATCTCTGAAAAGCTGTTAGAAATAGGAGAAAGCAGAGGGACCACTCTCAGAAAATCCACCTGCTATAAAGAGAAAAGACCTTCTCGGTAAGCAAGGTGGAACATGCCATGATGTCTTGGATTCAAGTATAACAGAACCTCAGAGAACAGTGGGAAAAGAAGGAACAACAGTTAGGGAAAAAAATTAGAACTGCCAACTGCACCCATGAGCTTTAGAGAGCAGTGGCAAAGGTAAAAAGAAAGGGAGACGTCAACTCCTCCCCCTGAACTTAACCATTTTGCTGACTTCCATTTGAGGTAAGACTGAGGGAAGAAACAAAAAGTCAAATCACCTCAAAGTCATCCCTAACAGTAAGGAGTTGAAATATATTCCTCACACAGCAAGTCAGGAGGGAGGATGCTGGGATCTGCCAAAGTGCCCTCTGTTTGAAGTCTGAGTCAAATGAAATGAGTAAAAGCAACTGGCAGAAATCAATCCCATGCCAAGCAAAAGACGAGATCAGCTGAGGTGAAACATGTGGAAGGATAATGGGTTGGTAAAATTTTTTTTGAGTGGGGGATGGTAAATCACATGTGTCAACTTGGCTAGATGATGGTGCCCAGTTACTTAGTCAAAGACCAGTGTGGATATTGCTGCGAATGTGTTCTTTAGATGTGATTAACATTTAAATCACTAGACTGTCAGTAAAGCAAATAGCCCTTCACAATACAGATGACCTTCACCCAATCATTTGAAGGGCTTAGGAAAAAAGACAGGCTTCCCCAACAAAAAGAAATTCGGCCTGAAAACTGCAACAAAGAAACCCTGCCTGGGCTTCCAGCTTGCTCACTGGCTTGCCCTACAGATTTCAGACTTGCCAGCCCCCTTATTATGTGAGCCAATTCCTTAAAAAGTAAATCTCTCTCTTTCTCAATATAGATATAGGTGTAGGCATTAGATACAGGTGTAGAATAGAGAGATACATATAAAGACAAACAGAAATAGATACATATATAATACACACACATGTACACACACATACATAGATACAACACATCCTAATGCTTCTAATCTCTGGGGAGCCCAAATACGGGGAAATAAAAGATGAACTCTATTAACAAAGACCAGTAGGGCCAAATCTTGAACTAGAGACACTGGAAGCAAAATTGTTGGCAGTAGTAAGAGATCAAAGCCTACTAGATTTGAATGACATAATAGACTAATACATTTAATGAAGATGATTTTGGCTTCTATAATATGTGTGATCTGAACCAGATCAGAGAGATACTGCAATTAGACCACATTCGGAGAAACCCAAGCCAAGGGATTCTGTAGATGCCTACGGAAATGGAAAACAAACCAACAAAAATAAAAACAAAAACCAACAACTGTGTGAACAATAAGGATCCGGCAAGCAATGGAACAGGCATCTTTTGTATCTTCAACATATTTAAGGAAAAATTATACAAGAATACTATGCACATAAAAAGACAGTGACTTACCATATTTGTCTCGTAAACCGACAGTACATCTAAAGACTCCACCAAAAGCAACATCTTCACCAAATATTACTGAAAAACAATGTTTACAAAACATGTTTTATTTAATAACACTTAAGTGATACTGACAATGAAAAATAGGTAATTTAAATGTTTTACACCTTAAATCAGAAAACAGAAATGGATTAGAAGTTTAAATCAAGGTTTCTCAACTTCAACATTACTGACAGTTTGGACTGAATAATTCTTTCACTGTAGCAGCCTGTTCTGTGCATTGTAGACCTCTCTGAGCAGCAACCCTGGCCTCTACCCAGTGGATGACAGTTGTCACCCGCTACACACCCACCCACCCACACACACACACAAACACAGTCATGACAGCCAAAAGTGTCTCCAGACTTTGTTAAACGTAAGGGGAAGAAGGGGGATTAAAATCGCCCCAATTGATGAAGAAGCACTTATCTAGAATGTCATTTTGTTTCACCCAGGAAGAAAACGAAGCCCAGGGCAGAAGTAAAGTAACTTAACCAGTAGGACAGCAAGCAGCAGAACTGACTCACACTCCAGGCTCAAGTCCCCTGCCAGTGGTTCTCTTTCAAACATGGTCTACAATGAAAGGCAACAATCTTAAGGGCTGAAGGAAACGCATTCCAAGCTGAGAGAACAGTCACAAGTAGGAAAAGGACCTAAATGGTGTGAAAAGAGGCAAGTATGGCGGCAGGTAGTGAGCAAGGCCAACGACAATAAAAATGGGTGTTCACATAGCTGAATTTATTAACACCTAACCAGTTTTGTGGACCTTATGAAATTCACCCTTCTTTACTCTTCAAGATCAATCATTCTCAGATGACATTCAAACAAAGCAAGATCTCATCATCCAATAGTATAGCTCTCACTTCCTCCTAACAAATTAACCCCTTCTTCACTTGACCTTAAAACTAGGGACCTTAAAACTTCTCAAGTGGAAGCCCAAGGCATACTAAATATATGTATTTATATATACCAATATATAAATATGCATAGGTTATAGTATATATAGTACATACTAATATATAAAAGTATATATATTCATACATACTAGCATGAGCACACACGTACACACACACTATATATATATTTATATATATATATGAAGTAAAGCCAACCAAATTGAGGAGACATATATATATAGCAAAACAACTGTTTTTATACCAATAATTAAATTTGATAAGATAAAGTTATTTACAAATACTAAAGTTATTTCAAAAAAGTCTTGTAAGTGGGATGGCTATCTCAAAGGAAAGCGTGGAACCAAATCTTCATTTCATAAACAGATTCATAAATCTGAATCAAGTGGTACTTCCTGTTTTTTTCCTATATGCTGGAGAAACAGAAGTACGTATTAGGTATCAATCTAGAAAATATTAATATAATAACAGGACCACAAATACCATGGGCGAAAGTTGACTTGATGATGTCAGATATACATGAGAACTAATTCATAATGAACTGATTTTTAAAAATGTGTTAATACCATAATCTGATTATTTGACCTTAATCATTTGACCAGATCATTTAAAAAATTTCAGGCAGACCTATGTTAACCACTGAGCTTTAGATACGGTATTTCCAGCAAATTTTCAATCTGAATTAACACACCTACCACACTCACACACAAAGGAAGTTTACCTGCAGTAGGATCTTTAGCCAATGAGTTATCCAAGGCACTTGTTATCGCCTGGAAAAGATTCATTTTCTGAGTTTGCCCTGTGAAAATTTAAAAAAAGAAAAAATTTTACATAACATTTCTTACATTGTAAGATGTATAAAAAATAGCCAGTTTCTTAACAATTGGTTACAACATGATTAAAATCAAAGAACAGAAAGTACAGAATATCCTATGTGAATTTACTGGATGAGTCACAATGAGGCTGGTTTTACAGAAAATACAAAAGCAATATAGAGTTCTGCACTTGATGATGAAGCAAAATTTACACTTACTAAACAACGAAAAAACAAGTATAAAAAAGGAAAAAGCTATTTCATCAAGTCACCAAATGTGTATATACAATAAATAAAAGTGATGGGAAGTTGGAAAAGGGAACCAGCCAGAGTGAAAGTGGTCTGGAAAGACACAGGGCAGGGGTGAAGGCTATCCTGATAGAAAATGCACAATGACCAGAGGCACACGTTAAATATGCCGGTAACAGCAAATGGTCATGGACCATAGAACAAGGAGGGAGGAAGGCTAATGATAAATGTTAGCACTCAGAACTTGCTGGTGTTTGGAGAATACTACAATTCCAGGCATCGACACACCAGTCTCGGTCCTTCCACTGTCTTGCTGTCCAGCAGAATCTCTGAAAGCCAACTTCTGGCTCCCTTATTCGATTGATAGGAGGGTGAAATGAAATAATACATGGAAAACGCTCAGAACAGGCCCTGACACAGTGCATGCTAAATAAGTAGGAGCTATTTACTATTAGACTCTGGACTTCACCCATGTCCTTCATCTCAACATTGGTATTATCCTGAATTGTATAAAAATTTATTTAATAAACTCCCAAGTGTTAGAATTCAGAAACAACATTAGAGTTTTTGGTCTTGGTGCTGTCCAGAGCCCACACATATCCCAGAACTTGAGATCAGCTCCTCTCCAAAAACACTCTTAAGAGCAGAGGAAAGCTTCTGCCTCAATCTTCTCTGCCCCAAAGGCCATCTTCACTTTAGTGCCTGATCTGTGCACTAGTGTTCACTTTAACCCACAGCCATGCTGGGAGCAAATCCCTTGAACACCTAATTACCCTTGACTACTGTCCCATCTAACCTCTGTTTTCCTCGGTAGCCTGGTGTCGTCCCAAAAGCCACAGCCTGATTCACAGTATGGGTCACAGCAGTGGCTGCTGCCATGAACACTTTGGCTGTGACACACACTGGCCACTCACCTTCTTCCTGGAGACCCATCCTCATCCCAAGCCCAGCCTGGATCCACAGCAGGCTCTGACCTATGAAACCATCATCATCCATCATCCACTGTCACTCAACCTTCTAACCCTTTACGTGCTCTGACCCCTTTCACACTGCTGAATGCCCGGGGTTCAGGTCTTAGCAGTACCCACTCAGATCTGTCCTGCTGCCCTCTCTGCTAAAATAAAGGTCTTTTCTACTCTTATTTTTGGTGGGGATAATAGGAATTCATTCAAGAAGTATTGTTATGCCATGAATGCCAAAAGGGATGCAATCATACCACACGTCCACGATGACTTCATAATTTATTTTTCTTCAAGCTAAAGCTGTATTAATAGATACTTGCCTTAAATCCTTCTTTATTGTATAAAGCCTCTTGAAAAGTACTTATTGATGCCCAGCATCAGATGACAACAGTTTAGGGTAAATTCTTTTTTCCCACCACCGTGACATTCCCATATTTCCTCCTATTTCATACATTTCCTAAAGCAAGATTTTTGTCTATTATGATGTTCATAGCTAAGAACCTAAGAAGGAGAAAAATGCCTAAACATCTAAAGTGGAATTTATTCCAAGTGTGCTGACCATCTGAATTAATCTGGAATGCCTCCAAGACATCTTATTCCATTGCTGTTCAATGAGTTTGAAATACAAAAAAGCAAAGACTTTATTAATAAAAATCATATCAAGTAAATCTAGAAAGTACTGCTTAATTACCCACAAGGAATCTATTCATCTTGTAGGAAAATAATTTATAAGTAAGGGTATTTAAAGGTTTTATTTCCATGTAAGCACAAAAATTTCCACTCCTGAATACTTTTTTTTCAACAGATTCAAAATTTTAGGGGTTTGGATTAACTTCTATGCTACTAGATGCTTTTAAAAGATTTAAATAATTGGGGCGCCTGGGTGGCTCAGTGGGTTAAGCCTCTGCCTTCAGCTCAGGTCATGATCTCAGGGTCCTGGGATCAAGCCCTGCATTGGGAAATCTCTGCTCAGCAGGGAGCCTGCTTCCCCCTCTCTCTCTCTGCCTGCCTCTCTGCCTACTTGTGATCTCTCTCTGTCAAATAAATAAAATCTTCAAAAAAAATTTAAATAATTTTTAGTAGAGCAACAGCTATCTTTCTTTTTTTTTTAATTCATTTGAGAAAGAGAGAGAGAGAATGAGAAAGAGAGAGCGCACAAGCAGCATTGGGGAGGGTCAGAGGGAGAAGCAGACTCCCCGCTGTGTGGGGAGCCCCATACAGGACAGATGCGGGACTTGATCCTTAGACTCCAGATCATGACGTGAGCTGAAGGCAGTCCCTTAACAAACTGAGCCACCTAAGCACCCCACAGCAATAGCTATCTTTCAATTATTATTAAAGTTGCAGTGTGGTCTATGAATGGGTCAGGGGGAAAAAAAAAAAATCACAAATTATTCACAGGTGAGATCACTTTAAATATTTGTTCACATTAGAATTACTTATTCTCCTACAGGTTATATTAAAGACCATTGATAAGATATGCCTACATTCTCTCATGATAAAATATGTATCATCTGTAGCATGTCTAACTAAGAACAGTAAGAAATTATTAAACACCGCTGCCAAATTATACAATTACCAATATTAATAAATGGCTGCTAAATTTCAAAACCAGGCTGATAACTCTTATTTCCAAGATAAAAAGTTAAAACAAAACTAAAACAGACACAGAAGTGCAATTTCCCTAGTCAGGGATACCAGCTAATGGATACCCATTGGTACCCATTGCTGTGAGCCGATAACTTGAACTTGTCCTAAGTAGAGCATTGTGAAAAACCAGGTCATTATCACTGCTGCAAAGATAAAGCGGCATGTAAGGTAGTGTTGGTGGAATATACGGAACACGATAGAGCAGAAGCCCCAAGAAGGCAGGGATTCTTACCTGCTTTTGATCAGAAGTGTATGCTTAGTGCTTATAACAATGCCTGACATGTAATAGGTGCTCGATAGCTATCTGCGGAATGAATGACTGAACAAGGAACCACAGGAGGCTAGTTCAATAAAGATAAAATATACAAAGTAAATTGTTCATCAACCACTTAAAGATAAAGAAATACAGTAGGAAAAAAATCTCTCCGATGTTATAATTCAGTCAGACTGCAGGGGAGGGGGAAGGAGGTAGAAGTGACACTGAGGCGGAGCACGCAGTTACTGAGTAACTATTCAGTATCCAGTAGCACTAAGGGAGGAAGGGAGAAGTCTTCCCAGGACTAGAATATGGAGACAAAAGGAGCAAATGGGTCCCCAAAGAGCAGTGCTTAGCAATAAACAAGGTCAACAGCAGGGCACGGAGACAGTAAGTGGGTCTATGGTTAGACCATGAATAAAAAGACACAGCCGTGACATGGAAAGTGAGGGTCTCCTTTCAGAAACCAAAGGATCTTCCAGCATATTCAGCACTGGCCTTCCTCTGAGCTGCCTCATCCTTGGGATACACCTGTACAGCACAGCATTTTCATGTCATATCCCTTAGAAAGCTCAGCACTGAGGGCCTCACCCAAACATGACAATCAGTATATGCCTGTTGAAGCATGATGAATGCATGATTTTAGTGGCATAATCTGGCACTAACCATACTGTGAAATGGAAGGATGCCTAAGAAACTACCTATTTTCTCCCAACAAAACCTCTTCTACCCCTCCAGATGCCCCGTTCTCCAGGAATCCCTTTGTATGTGCCAGATGTGTATCTCTATCCCATTCCAATCCCTGTTACTGGGTTTCCCAACCTCCACCCCATAAAGTAAGTTTCATAGAGAATTCAAATATGAGGGACAGAACATTTTATATTAAAATGTAAATGAAGGATGAGGGGCACCTGAGTGGCTCAGTCAGTTAAGAGTCTGCCTTCAGCTCAGGTCATGATCTCCGGGTCCTGGGATCGAGCCTTGCGTCAAGCTCCCTGCTCAGCGGGGGTCTGCTTCTCCCTCTCACTCTCCCTCTGTGCTGTCTCACTCTCTCTCTCTCAAATAAATAAAATCTTAAAAAAATAAGTAAAATAAAATCGGGGCGCCTGGGTGGCTCAGTAGGTTAAAGCCTCTGCCTTCGGCTCAGGTCATGATCCCAGGGTCCTGGGATCAAGCCCCGAATCGGGCTCTCTACTAAGCAGGGAGCCTGCTTCCTCCTCTCTCTCTACCTGCCTCTCTGCCTACTTGTGATCTCTGTGTGTCAAATAAATAAATAAAATCTTTTAAAAATAAATAAATAAATAAAATATAAATAAAGGATCCATAATCACAAATTGCCCTTTTTAAGGTGCCAGTAAAGAAGTGGGGGGCGGGGGCGAGGAGATTGTTATCTGAAGCCAAAATTGGGAGGACCTAAGAAAGCCTTAAAGTTGAAGAGATTATGGCTAGGAACTCTCAGAGCACCTGGTAACTTATGTCATGGTATGACGAGCTACAACTGTTTCCCTTCCTTTGGCCTTCCCTACTCGGTCTCTAAATGGTTTTAAATTTTTCTATATACTGGTGACTCCCAAATGTGTTTCTCCAATCCAGACCTCTCCTCTGACCTTCTGACTTAACACGCAGTCACCAGTTCCCCAGGTAGGTGTCAGGCTTCTCTAACTCAGTAAGCACGTAACTGAACTCAATGTCTGCTCCCAAAACAGTCTTTTCCATCTTAGCAAACAACACTATCCTCCACTCAAGTATCCAAGCCATAAACTGAGGAAGCACCCTTGAATGTCTTCCTTTTTTTCACTTCTTGAATCCAACACTTCCAATCCTACTTCCAAAATAAAGCTTCTTCCAAAGATTTATACTTCAGATAT